GGGGTGGGGAGCTGCCTCGCCTCTCCCGCGGCCCCGCTGGCTCCGCTCCTCGCCAGTGCTCGGTGGCGAGGCTCGAGGCTCGGCCGACGGGACGGCACGGCGGCGCGTGGCGAGGCGGCGAGGGACGGGACGGGCCGGACGGGAGGCACGGGACGGCCTACAGGAGGGAGGCGGGAGGGGCGGGGCGGGCCCGGCGGCGTGCGGGCAGCGTGCGGACAGCGTGCGCAGCGTGCGGGGGCCCCACCCCGGATGTGGCCGAGCCGGAGGCGGCCCCGGAGCCACAGCCGGAGCCGTGGCCGGAGGAGGCCGGCGGGGAGGCTGACGAGGACCACGACGTCGAGCAGGGCCCGCCCAGGGCCGGGGGGCCCCATGAGGGCGCCTAGCAGCGGTCCACAACAGTAAGGGTAAGTGTGAGTAGTGCACGGCTGCAACCGCACCCCCCACGCGCGCCACGCCCGCGAGCAGCAGTCTCCGCCCAGGAGAGGAAGGCCAAGTGCAGCTGCACCCGGGCCACGCCCGCGAGCGGCAGGTCGACTGGAGCTGGAGGGCACGCGCGAGGGCCCGACACATAAGGGTAGCTAAGTTCGAAGATTGAAGCTCCACCCGTCTCTCCCCTACCACCACCACCCCACACAAACACACACGCCTCACGCCCCCCGTCCACCCGTTTTTCCTGATTTGTGGACGACGCCGGGTGCAGACGGCGGCAGCGTGGCGTGCAGGTCGACCTGCACAGCCCCCACCTCCACCGACGGGGCGGCTCCAGACGTGATTCAGCTCCCCGGCTGGAGTCCGCGCGGGGAGAACTCTTTATTTGCTCTGCGAGTTAAATCATCAGGAGCATAGGCAGAGTGCTATAACGTTGGGGGGGTCGCGGGCCTGTTCCTCTCGCTGAACTACGACATTCATCTAAAATGCTTGACAAAGTACGAAACAAACTTAATTAGCGGAGTTGCCAATCTAGTTGTGCGCGCGCGCCTGGGCCCGGCTGGCCCGGGGGGCCTCCAGCCCCGCTCCGACCCCCTCCCCCTCGCGTGCACGTGGGCGCGCGCGCGGCGCCCCTGTGCGATTGTCAGCAGGACAAGCGGCGCCACCCGAACTTGTCGCAAATTTGCCCGCAAAACTGTGCGGGTCGGACACAAAGCAGCGCGACAGGCCCTCGGCGCGCGCGCAGGGGGAGCCGCCGCGGCCTCGGCGGCCCCTCAAAGGATTGTCGTCGCCCTGCCCGCGGGGCGTGCCTCGGCCAGCAGGAGGCAGGGGACGGGGTGGGGGAGGGGGAGGAAGTTTGGCACCCCACCCTACCCACCGCGCCCCGCACCTCCTGACCAACCGATTGTGATGCAAAACAGCGGCGCGAAACGCCCCGACCTTAACTTGAAGCAACAAAGTCCGGACAAGCGCCGCCGCCGCCGCTACGAGAGTCAGATTTCATTCAATTATTATTTTTGCGACCCTTTGCCTTTCCTCACTCCCTCTCGACCTTCGCATCAGCTCATTTGCGTGCCGCGCGGCTGACTCACACCGTCAACATTTGCGCGGTTAGACTTTTTTGCACGGCAGCACCGCGACGGTACCCCTCTGCGTGGGCGGATGCGGCTGACGGGCAAAGCCAGTAGGCAACATTACTTATGATATAAAAGAAAAGGAGGAGTGGATCGCAAAAAAAAAATATTT